ATACAACTTATGAATGGCACCGCGAGGAGCGTTTAGTGCTGATCTATGGCAACATTATAGCATGGCCCGATGGTTCCCACGATTTCATATGCCAAGAACTCAGTATGTGCCGGGTGCGCGATATTCTTCCATTGTTATGACTATATTTGAACTGCTAGAATACTTTAACAACATAATTGCTGCTTAACCGGAAAACCCCAAAGTATTGAGAGAAGTAGAAGTATTAAGAGAGAGAAATATTAACTAACCCTTATTAATGTTTCTACGGAAAACGTATACATTTTAGCTCAGCAAAGAAATCATATAAGTGGACGAATGCGGAACGCTTTATGTAAAAGGTTGAACAACTCAACATTATTTTTCAGTATTATTTTTATTTTTATTTATTTTATGTGATAGGTCGGTAAACGAGCAGACGGATTACCCGATGGTAAGCAATCAGCGCCGCCAATGGACACCCGCAACTAAGGAGTTACGAGTGCGTTGCCCACCTTTTAGGGATTAGGGATTTGGAGATTTAGGGATTCGGGGAGGGGAAGGATTGGGCTTCCGGTAACCTCACTCACACGGTGAAACGCAACGCTGTGGTTACTTCACGCCAGTTTTCTGTGAGGCCGTGGTATCACTCCGGTCGAGCCGACCCATTCGTGCCGAAGCATGGCTTACTTTTTACTTAGTACCTATATAATTTAAATAGTCATTTGTATAGGCCTTTAAGACATTTGAGTTTGTTTCGGCATTTCTTCTCAGTAGTCAGATCTAAAATGCCGGTTACATCTACATTATTATTGTTTTTTTTTTTAAATATAGCTTATGGCCTATTTGAAAATAGAAAGTCTTTGTTTAATAAAAAACTATGTCAAGAGTATGGAGTAAGATTTAGTATAAATATTTGAGATTGAACAATAGGCATACAAAGAGATTATTATGTTTTCGGCTTACTCACGTAATAATTTGACAAGATACTCGACTAGTTTTAAGCCATACTAGATGCCCATATTCATGAGTGTGTGAGTGAGTAAGCCGAAAACATAATAATTAATTTTGAATGTCTCACGAAATTTATAATAAAAATACGAAGAGATTGTTAGTTTTAATTTTGAAATATTTGTTATTATTTGTATTAATTCATGCGTACCTAAGCCAAATTAGTAATTTGTAAAATAGTTGAAGATGAAAATGGATCACTTCAAAAATCGACCTTCCCAAAAGGTAACTTCATTACGAACCCATTTACCTGTTATTTAAATATTTATTTCGATATAAAATTGGGTTCTTTTTCATATGATAAAAAAATCGTGTTTTTCTAATTCCTTTTTCCATTTATGAAACACGTGTAACGTATGTTCCTTTTCATCATACGATTCTTTACAAATTCAAATGCTCTCGTCATGTTTGCAATAAAAAGTACAACGTTCTAAGTATCAGAAACCGCCATTCGAAACCAGATACGGGGTTCTGATTACGTAAAATCGGGTTTCGTTACGCTTTTTGACCTTGCATCTAAATGAATAGCATGTGAAGGAAGAATATTGAACCAGAAATATACTAATTCTTCTAAGTAGTTTGGAAGATCCTGAATTGCTGTCGTGGGTTCAAGGATGTGGAACACGACAAATTAATTATTGTTAAGACTTTTTTGAAATAGGACTTTATATAACTTTTTGAACTAAAATTTATAAGTTTTTATTTTTATAATGGCATGAGAAGCATATCGTTTTTTCGTTTGGATATGATAAATGATTTTTTTTTAAACTTTTCGTTGTCTGCTTTAGCTGGCGGTTCTATAGGTTATAATATATAAACTAAGATTTACTACAGACCCATGTATCTATTTATTGCTCAATACTGTGTGTATGTATAATATATGTGTGTGGCGCCATCTAGTGGTAATAATTAGTACTAAACTTATTGTATCAATGTGTCAAACAAATAATAAATGACAGTCTGTTGAAGCTATTCTCTGGTTTTCTATATTATTATAAATCTGGTAAACTCTAAATACAAACATTATCATGGGATTTACTATGGCAGAGCTCCAGAATAAGGAATCTTCGGACAATAAGAGCCAAGTCAGACGTACTGCTATATCAGATTCTTCTATATCAGACTCTTTTCCCACCGGTCTTACGTAAGGCTACTCAGATGTTGGCCTAGGTTTATTCATAAGGTCATTGCAAGACACCACTAGCGGCACAGCGATTAACGAATCCACATCTCAAATGTCGACAATCTCATGAGCTTAATCAGAATATTTACTAATTATATCTCTTTCAGCTTTCACGGGATTCAGCATGTGATGTGAATTCATTATTCGATACTGTTGTAGTGATTGATTGTTAGTACTTAATGGTCATAGTTGGAGAAAGGGACCTTAAGTTTGTGGAATCACAGTTTTGTGTTCCAAGTCCCAGTGTTATCCTCCTTGAAACAGATTAATTTGGTAATGAGTGTTCTGGCGTCACCTTTACCGCAATCTGCACTGTCAACCTAATATAGCTTATTTCTGCCGTGTACCTCTATTTACCCTGTCTCGTAATTTGGCATTCGCAGTTGAATTGAGTGCATATCAACGAGATCTTTGCTATTATCAAGATAGATTGCAAAAGCGCACATGATCGCTTTATTCATTTTTTGCATGGACATAAGTGGTTAACGCAGTTTTAAGGATACGTGCTGTTATTCCTGAATCGCAACCTCCAAAGCTCTCCTCAATTCATGACTAAGTATGTGAGTACTTACTTCTGTAGTCCTGTCATCATTTCGCACATCAGCAGAGTTTGATTGTAACTCTGCTGTGGGATGTGATGGCGAAACGATGCTTCATTGCGTAGTCGATCAAGTACAACATCTTCCGACATTGGATTATGCTGGATCTCGGACTGGACTCGCTCCTGTTCTGATGGTCGTTGTACATATACGTTGATGGATGGCTCGAGTACCTGAAACAGAGCAAGCATTTTGACACGGTACGCAGTCAGGTTATTTCCTCCCTCTGTTGCCCCAAAGCGCATAACATTTTCATTTATGGATGTAGCCCATTTCATTTCTTTTTAATAATTTTTTTTTAGTAATTTTAAAAAAAATCATGAGCGACACACTACCACTCGGCGCTGGGACCCTTCCTAAAGCCGGTGGGCCTCGAGGTCCTAAGCCAATCGGTTGCCGACGTTCTCTACTGCGACGTGTCGTTGGTGGTTTCCCTGCATCTGGATCCGGTGCCGACGATGGTGGGGTGGATCTGGGTGGCGAAGTCGGAGATAGAAGAACATGCAGCTTTAGCTTTTGCTCTTGTCAACATAATGTGTTTTTATTTACATTTAGATAGAACCTTTATTTTTTAAATATTATAGAGATAAAGTTATTAACCTGAAAAAACTGATTGTGTCAAATGTCAAACATTGGCAAAAAATATATTTTCTCATAAAAATTCACATACACATTACAACCAGATCATCCAATAATCTATAGATTGCACAAAGAGTTGTTCTTGCAGGAATAGACCGTCACGTTACATGGTAACCAGTTGTCCAGTCACCACAATAGACGTGCAGTCAAATGTTTAGGGTATGATAGAGAATTTGGATGACCATCCTCATCCGCAACAAGCTAATTCAAGCTATCTGAAAGTATTCCCTGCTTGACTAAAACTATATTTTATTCCATACTGGCGACCCGCCACAGCAAATTATTCCACTATTTAATGGATATTATTATACATAAAAACCATCCTCTTCAATCGCTCTATCTAAAAAAAAGCCGCATCAAAATTTGGTGTGCAGTTTTAAAGGTTTAAGCATATTTAGGGATGGGACAGAGAAAGTGTTTGTTTAATATTATGTTGTGAAATAACAGGCGTGGTAAGTTTTCATCATTAATTAACCTTCGAAAAAAATACTTGCGTATGTAATAAATCTTTATTTTTTTTAAGAATCAAATGAAAATCTTTAGCAGTGAATTAATGAGGTCTAATAAACTTAGTTTTAGTTTTTCAGGCCGACCCGTCCCTACAGCGAAGGTTGACAAAATTAACGATCCCAAAACGAATTTAGGATTCAGTTTGAACTTTTGTTAATTTACTTAATTTGATTTGTTTCACAAAAAAGTAACATTAACTTTGCTTTTAATTCTTTGATTTGGGGACGGTGATAAGAGGTTTTATCGAGACAAAGAATCTTGAAGGTCTGAAGGCGATAAAAAGTACGTTTAATTTTGTTTCTAAAAATCTGTATGGCTCTACTTGTGATTTGAATACTACCACCTACTTTTACTACTACTGCTCGACGTGAGGTATCCGGTCAGAAATTTATAGCACATCCGCAAATTTGGATTTCTTGATTATTGATAACTATTCGCCAAACACATGTATATCTTGTACCTGTGTTTGGTTTTTTTGATTAGAAACAGAATTAGATGCTTATGAAAATAAACAATAGTTTACCGTTGTGAAACAAGATTCGACGCTTGCGCGTACTGGTAACAGGTTTAAATATAAATGTGAAAATTATAAATACTCTACTTCTTCTTATTAATTCTAGGCGAAGTCTGCTCGTATCTTTTAATTTATACAATTATAAGATTCTTAGCATATTCCTTCAATCACTTCCTTTCAGTGTCCAGTATAACCTTTTATTGTTTTATTCGTTTTCCTCATAATAAGCATTGTGTTTTAAATTATATATAATATTTTATTCTATGTGTTTATCATAATGGACATCACCATCATTCAATACTAAATCACATATCTGCCATTACAGTATGGCAATATCACAAAAATGTACGGTTTTGTAAGAAAACAAAATACTGACAAAACAGAATCTTGCTTGCTTATCCTCGGTATGACGTGCAGGTGTAATGTTCAGATAAACAGGCAATGCATCGGATTCCTCCCTCGCGCAATATTTTTTCAACGCGTGCGCAGCTCAGTCTGTACAAACCGCAAAAGGCGTTTGGACGATAATTTAAGAATAAAGAGTTTATCTGTGTGCGACATTATAACCATGTCACCTTACGAAAAGTAAGTTTTGTTTCTATTAATTTTCAAATGCATTAAGTGTCTTATTCGGAAATATACACATTAATAAGAGTCCCGTTGTGATTTTTGTGAAACTAGTAGAGATTTTTTTCAACAAATCGCGTAAGTAGGCCGTTAGTTAGTCGTCTCGATAAAATTGTATTATTCTGAATTAAACTCTACGCCGTTTAACTTAAGTTTTGTTTTGAATGTCTATTGGTGGCACTGATTTGTTACCATTAGGTTTTCCGACTGCTCGTTTCACTCCTATTTCATAAAAAAAGTATTTGGACACTTAAATATATAACAAAAAATACATGTGAAAAAATACGCAATATTTTTTGGTTGACTTGAGAAAGAGTAAAGTTGTAGAGAACTCTGTTATTTCTTTTTTCTAATATTTAAATAATTTGAAGATAATTTAGACACTACAATGGGTTAAGGACAACAAGCTGAAGTAGGTGCCCTCACTTTCTCACTATACGATTTAAAATCGCCAATCCACTTGGTGTTATGTGACGCCTTATTCTTCTATGTGTGAGAAGAGGCCATTGCTCAGCAGGGCGTTTATAGATTAATGATGGTGTGCAATGAAAATTAAAATATGCTGGGACATGACATGGAATATTTGGCACCAGTCATGAAATATTTAACACCTTTTCATTTTAAAAGGGATGGATTCAAACAGAATGGCATATCACTTTTCTTATAACACTTTTTCCATTACTGCGCAGTACGTTTTTGGGTTAATGTTGGAATGAAACCATATCCTACATAAGACCTAAGTTATCAATACATAGAAAAATTGGAATTTCTAATCCAAAGGAAATAAACTTTATTATTGTCAAGAATGTGATTGTAGAGGTTTTATAATATGCGTAATGTTTATAAATCATTACGGAGCCACATAAGTATGTGTAAACTCAAAGTAACTTCCATTTGTAAACACATTTACTATTAATTTTTTATTACACGAGACATTTGTTTCGTGTCATTCAATCGCAGTGAGATCCTTAATAAAATGTAACTAGGAAATTTGGGTTGCTATTAAAAGTCATCGCATACCGCCAGTCAAATTAGTGATCAAGCTAAGTGCTTCATCACTTATTTTCCTATGAAGTACAAAAAAGACGACATCGTTACGCATATGTTATTACGCCACGCACTTGCTTCGCGTTATTTCTAATTCAATACAAACAAAAGATCTTCCCTTTCATTTTCCAAAAAAAAACTTTTCCCAGCCCTCGCCTCAAAATACGTACGTTATCTCTGTCTATCCGCCTGTAATAGGGCTAATATTCAGCCGCGGTTTGCGGGTCAAGTACATTAATGCATTGCTGTCCCGGCCTAGAGCAGAAGAAGGGACCGGGTGGTCTTTACCCATTAAGAGTGAGACACATTCTATTGCCCCGCCCAGAACCAGAGATGGCATTTTTGATGACATTAGCGCCCCCAAAGAGCCAATAGACCACCACAGATGGGGCCCTAAAGGGCTGATGTTCAGCCGGGGTTGCGGGGTAAGCGCATTGAGGCACCGAGGGAGAGAGAGAAGGGACAGGGGAGTTTTAAGTCAGTAAGAGACTAACACTCCCTCCCGCTCGGCCGTAGGCGGAAGAAGTCATTTGATGATTTTCCCCTCATAAAAAACCCCTTAGAAAAAGGAACCTTCTCCTGACAATAACATATACACATCATCACATCATCAGCCTATAAGCGCCCACTGCTAAGCAAAAGCCTTTTCTTTCACAAGGAGAAAGTTTGAGCATTAATCATTGCTTAAGGTGAATTGGAGATTTCAAACTTATAATTAGAAATTAAAGTCCAAGCTTCCTTACGACATTTTCCTTCCAGGTATGGCAATGGTGTTTAATATATCATAGATAGTACACATAGGTAACTCGTGAAACACTGCAAAAGCAACAGAATATAATAAGCATATGTATGTGATCGTGAACTCGACATTTGCGCTTAGCAACACATTTATCGATACATTTTCATTTTATAAATTCGTCGATATATATTATTATTTATTTTGAACTGAAATACAAGGACAAAGGAAGTAAACTATATAATTGTAACTTGAAGCCTCTTTATATTTTTTACTTATTGCAGCATGTATCCAAAACAACCGCAGAGATATATTTTGTTCACAAGATGCTGTTTCTGCGTACCGCTGGAGACTGGTTGTTTCATACTTGGCTACATCAGTTTGGTACGTATGATATTTGCATTTTCCCATTGTTTATGTAATAGGTCGGTATACGAGCGGACGGATTGCCCGATGGTTAGCAATCATCGCCGCCCATGGTCAAGAACGGAGGGGTTACGAGTGCGTTGCCAACCTTTTAGGGATTCGGGATTTAGAGATTTTGGGATTGGGGGAGAGGGGATCCGTGATGTTGCGGGTTTCCATAGGAGCCGATTACTTAGCATAAAGTTATCGGTCTGCTCGTCTGCCGAAAGGTTACGTGTGCCTTGCCGCCCTTTTGGGGATTATGGGATTGGGGAGGGGAAAGATTGGGCCTCCAGTTACTAGTCACTCTCACAGCGAAACACATTGCTGTGGTTGTTTCTCGCCGGTTCTCTGTGAGGCCGTGTTATCCCATTCGTGCCGACACATGACTCTCCCACACTTATTGTATTAAAAGTTCTATTCATGTTTTAATTCCCATTTTAATATGTTTGATGATTTGTGAGTGAAATTATTTTAATATTTAAAAAAATTGGTACCTTTCTTAGTTAATTTAGGTCCTTTGTTAGTTAACGTTTCGTCTTCTTATAAAACAATTATCTTTTATTTCCAGATTTTAAACTTCATAATATCATTATTCTTCATCGGAACTCTGTTTTTCATGGCTATTTACAGCCAAGACTTTGAACACATTCACACTAAGGTGATAAAAGATGGAGAGAAGACTCCAGATTTTTTGGATGAATCCACATTGATGACGACTGCCGTAGTTACTATTCTTGATGGTGGTCTGAACGTCATTTGGTTTGCGATGAGCATCGTCCTTCTTATTGGTCTACACAGGGTAAGTTTCTGTATTTTATGTTTTTACTATTAATACGAACACTAGTTAGCAGTGTAAGTTTTTACTAATTCTTTTTTTTCTTATGTAATAGGTCGGCAAACGAGCCTACGTCTTACCTGATAGTAAGCAATCAGCGCCGCCCATAGCCTTCCAGAACAGAGGAGTTACGAGTGCGTTGCCGACCTTTTAGGGATAAGGGATTTGAAGATTTAGGAATTGGGAGAGAAGAAAGATTGGGCCTTAATATGCCACAAATCTGGTATTGGAAATTCCCAATTGGAAAAGTTTTTTTTATCCTTGCAGAGTTTTTCAAATGCTTTCAACATTATTTCAGCTATTTGAGACACATCGTGTTTTTCCTTAAAAAGACCTTAAAGCACATTTCAGGCTGGTCGTACGAGGCATGTTAAAAATTATCTACGGCCACAATAAATGTTCCGTTGTTTGAGTTACTTAGCTGGCAGTATGCCAGTTTGTACGAAATTACAAATAGGTTTTGCCAAATCTTTCACGATTTCTAGACAGCAGTTCTTTGAAATTTTTGACAAAAAAAAAATTATTATTTTTAGTATTACAAAGTAAAAAATAACAAAAAAGTGTATTTCAATTACAGTAGGCATTTGACATATAATTGTTGGAGACCTCCTTTTAAGCAAACATTTGCTTGTGTTATAGACTCCGCTCTTCCACTTGTCTGACGTAATTGAAATTATAGGCTTAGATGCAGACAATGTAAATATGAAAGCTAGTTATAAAAAAATGTAGTTAAACAAGTACCTATGTACTAAGGTAATCAAGTTAGAAGGTAAACATGAAATTTACTGCCAATAGAGGAACACGATGTAAAAAATAAAACAAAGTATTTTCTTTTATTTCTAGCACATAATTATTTTCCCTATTTTGGTCAAAGTAAAACCTCAATGTTTAGCTATTAGAGAGTTTGTAAAAATCTATTACTTAAGAATTTAGTTCAATAAGTCTTTCTCTTCAACCCATGGTGTTGCTTACTTATATACTAGCAGCTCGCCCCTGCTTCGCACGGGTCTCATCATCTCGCTTACGATGAAAGGGTCCCTATTACCCAACTCTACCCTCTACTTTTCTAAAATTTTCTTTCATAAGAACCTTCTCCTGACAATAACAAATACAACAAAAAATAATTAGCAAAATTGGTCCAGGCGTTGTTGAGTTATGCGCTTACCAACAGATTTTGCGATCCATTTTTATATATAAGATTTAGTAGAGGTTATAATAATATATTCAGCGAGTGAATATACCATACGTAGTTGTACTACAATCAAACTTAGCTATGCCAAAACAAAGTTGGATGGTTTGGCTTGATCGCATTGAAATACATTAGCTAATAAGTTCTTGTTGTGCTTGGGAAGTCCTTACAAGCCGTTCCTTAGTACTATACACCATCGTTTTATAAGATCGGCGATTAGCCATATGGCCCAACCTTAAATAGAGATTTGGAAATTTAGGGATTCTGGGAGGGGAAGGTTTGGGCCTCCGGTAACCTCATTCACACAGCGAAATATGACGCTGTGGTTGTTTCAATCCGGTTTTCTGTAAGGCCGTGGTATCAATCCGGTGGAGCCGACCCATTCGTGCCGAAGCATGACTCTCCAACACGTCTGGTTAGGACATGCTACTCCCTGTCATGTAATATTTAAAGTGATTTTAAAAACACATAGTCTACCATGAATTTAATTAAAAAATTAAATGTAACCAAATAATTATGAACTAGGTGTTTTTATTTTTTCAGAAACGTCCTGGCCATATTAAGGTACATGTGTCAGCAGCTGTTATTCGTCTTCTTTTGTCGATTTTGTGCATGTTCTTTCATGGCAGTCACTCTACTCATTCCACATTAGTCTGCAGCATCGAGATTGGTAATAAATTTTAACTACTTTTTTATTTTTTGCTTAAATTGTGTCTTTGTTTGAATAACGATTGAAGTTGCTTGATGAAAACACTCTATCTATTTCGTGGGTGGTTTTGTTATGGTATAGGACGGCAAACTAGCAGCCTGTTTACCTGATGGTAAGCAATCAGTGCCGTTCATGGACACCAAAGAAGTTACGAGTGCATTGCCGGGCTTTTAGGGATAAGAATTTCGGGTGTTTAAGGATTGTAAAAGGACCACACGGCGAAACACAACGCTGTAGTGGCTTCACGCTGGTTTTCTGTGAGGCCCTGGTATCACTCCAGTCAAGCCGAAACCTTCGTGCTGAAACTTGGCTCTCTATGGAAACGTGTCTTCTGCATGAGTACTATCATAAAATGTGTGCTAATTTTGCAGTTTTCTCAGCATACTTCATCCTGCTCTACTACAGTTACGCCATCTTGTTAGAGCGAGAGCAACAAGAGAAAAATCCGAAACCAGTGATGGAAATTATCGCCAGCGTCATCTCAAAGCATTCTCAGAGCGTTGATAAGGTTACTTTGACTGAGAGGGAAGAAAAGTTCTGCCCAGTGTAAATGATTGCATCATTTTTGTAAAAAGAATATGTATGTTGCACAGCTTGTACATTTTTGTTTTGTTATTGTGTTCGGGTATAATTGAATACAAATGTGTAGTTCTGTTTTTAAATTTATTAAAAGTTTAAACAATAATATGGTGTTGGCTTATTTTTTCCCCATTTATAACTCTATACCCCTTTTTAAAGCACGTTTCTATTTACTCATCTTACATAAATGGTTTCTTATTTTTAAGTTTTTTTAGACAATTTGCAACGGAGGAGTTACGAGTGCGTTGCCGACCTTTTAGGGATTAGAGATTTGGAGATTTGGGGATTGAGGAAAGATTGGGGGAGGGGAAGGATTGGGCCTCCGGTAACCTCACTCACACGGCGAAACACAACGCTGTGGTTGTTTCACGCCGGTTTTCTGTGAGGTCGTGGTATAACTCCGGTCGAGCCGACCTATTCGTGCCGAAGCATGGCTCTCCCACACTTCACACATCATCACATTTTGAGTTCAAAAATATCTTTAAAAAATTGATTTATCCTAACAGACTTCGAAATCAGCTTCTATCAATAAATTAGTATATACTTCATTATAGCAGTAATGATGCGTAATAATAATACAACTGTTACAATTTATTAAAGTTATACTATATCTACACATACTACGTCACAAATTTGTACAGTTAAGTTAAAAGGAAATGTAAAATAACCCACGAGACAGAATCTTGCTTTCTTATCCTTATTGTGACGCAAATATTGATGTTATGTATAAACAGGTAATGCATCTGATTCCTCCAAATAAAACTAGTGTATGGTCGTGCGCAGATCAGTCCACGCGAAAGGTGCGCGCGCGTCGAACGTGTATAACATTTTAAAATAAAAAGTGAAATTGATTTGTGTACCTCAAAATGGCTCCTTCACCATATCAACAGTGAGTTTTGTTTGCATTATATTTAAATAACGTTGTTTTAATTAGGATTTGAGCTTTCAATTGTTTGTTGTAAAGTTTCCCTAAAGTTATTTCTTAATTTATTGTGTTCAATATTTTGAGGTTATGTCCGAGTTTTGGTGTTTGATGTCAGTACAAAAAAAAAAAAATGTGATTTGTTTGACAACAGGTTTGGTTTTGGTAATGTGTGTGTTATTTTTAATCTTGATTTTGTGTTTTGTATAAATATTTTAATTTTACAAAGTATAAATATTACAAGGACTTAAAAACAGTAACTTTTAAGCATTCAAAAACGGACTTTTTTTATAATGATTGATAAGGAGAAAAAAGTGATAGTATCAATATGTGATGTAATCGATATGTTTCATACCTTTTTAACTAAACTGAGCATATATCACAAGACGAAGTATTGTGTTTTAGGTCATAGGTCGATACCTAAACGAGCAGTCGGATTACCTGATGGTAAGCAAGCATCGGCCGAGCCGGCCTATTTGTGCCGAAGCATGGCTCTCCCACACGTCCTGACGTAACTCACACAAAAAAAGTAGTTGATAAAATCATTGTCTGATGTTTTTATTTCATGAATAGCATAAAAGTCATTCCAACGATTTAGTGGTCCACGGACAGAATATATTACCATAATATACACAAGTGTGTTTATAGAAGATTGTTTTTGTAAACATGGATTTTATTATTGTTCCGGTTTCTCGACCATTAAACAGTAGGGTGAAGGAGGACAGACTGTGATCAAATTAGGTACTATACATGTATAAGGGACAGAGTCCAAATCATCATCATCATCAGCTAGATGGTGCCCTACCTCTTAATCCTCCACGTCGAACAACAACTCGCCACCTGCATCATCAAATGATGATGAAACATTTTGTTTTTGTAACCATTCCATCTGTGTTCGAAACCTTCACGTGTTTTGACAAATAAATATAAAATTACATATGTTTTTTATTGCAGTATCTACTCAAAACAATATCAGAGTAATGAGTCTGAGACCAAAAAGCAGAATGATTTGTTCACAAAATTCTGTTTCTGTGTACCGCTAGAGACTGGGTGCTTTATACTTGGTTATACCAGCTTGGTACGTATTAATTTATATTGCTTTTCAATTTTATTAGTTTTTTAATTGGTGATGAACGATACCTTTCTAATACAATCCAATCTTCAATTTTTTCTAAGGGGTTACACATATTTTTTTATGGAATAGAGCGGCAATTGCCTTGTGGGTCTGCTACCCATAACCTCATGGTAAGCAATCAGCGGCACCTATGGAAAGCTGCAACTTGAAGCATTTACAAGAAGTGCGTTACCAACCTTTTAGAGCTTAGAGATTTGAGATTTCCGGAATTTGGGGATGGCAGTGCGGGAAGCAAAGTGGTGTTTCCTTTTAACAAAACGTTGCCCCATTTTTAGTTTTTCTCCTTTGCCGTGGATGCGTTTACATATACGTGTATGCGCAATGATGTATAAATCTATAGATACGTTGTCCGCGCTCTAAAATGACAACATGAAATGAAGGCAATTGACAACATCGCGCTTAGTTACGCACCAACCTGCCGCGCGACGCTACGTTTGTTTTTAATTTATATCGTGTGTGTAAACCTGTGCGAAACATAAGTAAAGCATGCCGTCGTGTGTGTTCAGACGATGTACAAATTATACTCCAAAAGTTAAAGACAAAAATGTGTCATTTCATGCGTAAGTTCACCAAACAACCTATTTTTATTTTATTTTTTTCGACGCCGGCGCCCGCCATCTTATGGCGGCCATCTTATGAAAATGTAGTTTTACTATTACATCCTGTGATGTAACTGAAGATGTATATTTATCTCCCTCTAGCAAAGGCATTCCACTATACGATGTCATATTTTCTTTCCCTTTCTTTACTAGTAGAAGTAGTTATCTAGTATTTTCGCCGTTTTTAAGCGCCGCGATGTTGGTTAATGACGTGTCTATATATAATACGTCATTGTGTATGCGTGTATATATGCCGTGCAGGAAACGAACTTATGTCACGTTGAACGGTAACCGGTTGCCCAGTCACAGCGTCAACCGTGGACTCAGATTCACGCTGGTTCTCTTTGAGGCCGTGATGTCACTAAGGTCACGTAGACCCATTCGTGTCGAAGCATGGCTCCCTGACAATACAAATTATTATTAACAAAATCTACATGTCTTTTTTATTTTCAGTTTCTAAACTTCATAATATCACTATTCTTCTTTGCGACCCTGGCTTTCTTAGCTGCGTACACTCATGGTTTTCAATACCTTCGTACCAAAACCACTGAGGATGGTGAGAGAGTTCCTGATATGAATTCTCTTGATAACGACAAGTTGACAAAGATCATTGTAATTACTGTATCCGATGGAAGTTTAAACCTTGCCTGGTTTGCCATGTGTATCGTCCTTCTTCTTGGTCTGCATAAGGTGTGTATTCCTCATTTTTTATAGTCTTTACTGTTTTATTGGTATAAGCTATTCCAGTTTCAAATGCATTTCCTTTTTTAATTATGACGACATGAAGCCAATTGACAATCAGGGATTTCGATAGCTTGACCTTGAAGACACATGTATTGTATATTAACATTGATTTTTTTGTGTTTGAATGCAATCCCACCTGATGGTAATTAGTGATGTAATCGTTGATGGTAAGGTGCACTAGTTTATTGACCCTATTCACTCTGGCCTTGAAAACACCTAAATCATAACTAGACGGGAAAATCGTCTCAGGCAAGATATCTTGCCTATTCAATGCCAATCCTTAGATGTGTGCGGTATAAACGACGAAGCGAAACACTAAGACTTATAATGTTATAGCAGCCTTTCATGTTACCTCTCTTTCTAAAAGAAAAAGCTCCAAGTTTATCTAAATGATAGAGTAACAGAACATTTGTCTTCTAAAAAGACTTTGAATGTGAAAAACTTTCTTGAATAAAAATCGACTTTGCTCTTTTTCAAACTGTGAACCCTAACTTTTGTTTCAGAAACAACCTGGCTATATTAAGTTGCACGTGTCGGTTGCTGCTATCCGTGTACTTTTATCGATAGTTGGCGTAGCTCTGTATACCGGACACACAACAAACTCTGCAATATTTTGCGTTGCGGAGATTGGTAAGTTTACAAAATTTCTTTAAGACCTTACAACCTTGCTTCAAAAGATCTCTCGAAATTTGGGCCTTCCATTCTCAATCAAAGGCCTATGTTGCGCTTTTTTAGCGTAACGACAGAAATATGTACCTGGCAGTCATACACGATCATTGAAATTATCCTACTAACATTAGAAACGCAAAAAATATTGTGTGAATATTTGCTACCATTTAATGTAAAAACTATTGAAAGGATCTGAACCGAATTTGACTCGGAAATAGATTTTAATTTAGAATAACATATAGTATAGTATGTATGGACTACATTGGTTTTTTTACTACCTGTTACTGCGACCGAACCTGCAGACAGAGGCTATCTATGAAAAAATACCTTGTAAAATATTAACAAAGGTAAACGTTCAAGTTTCTTAAGTTTTCTTCTATAAAATATAATGAACAAGATGGTAATTAAGTTGCCTTTATGTTAGCTCAAATGAGATCGAAACTTCGCCCCACTTTTCTCTCCCTAACGATGCACCTCACTGTGCTTTACGTACGTACAATCTGTATGTTAGTGTGGGTAACGTCAAGTATGAGGTAGGGAGAAAATGTATTGAATCAAAAGTTAACGATCCGTGCATATTTTTAATAGTAAAATATCTACAATATTTACAACGTAAACAACGATAGACAATGGCACGAAATAAAAATAAGTTATTCAAATAAAAAAATATAAATTCAAATATGAAAACAACGGCATATATGACGTGTTACCAATCACTGTATAGTGAACATTTCAGCAGTTATAACGAATAACTTGCGTTGTGATTGTTATTGTTGTAAAAATAAGTGTAAAGACAAAATAATTAATAAAATGTAAATCGACATCATTGGCATTAAATCAGCTACAAATATTACCGTAATGATTAAACATAAGCTTTCCCTAATGATTTTTAAAACTACTAGTTTTTTAACGCAATATTAGTTTTAAAAGTGTGGGAGAGTTAAGCTTTGGCACGAATAGGTCGGCTCGACTAGAGTGATACCACGGCCTCACAGAAAACCGTCGTGAATCAACAACAACGTTGTATTTCGCCGTGTGAGCGAGGTTACTGGAAGTCAAATACGTGCCCTACCTATCACTTCCCAATCCATAAATATCCAAAACACATATCCATCAAAAGCCGGCAACGCACTCGTAACTCCTTTGGTGCTGATTGCTTACTATCAGGTAATCCGTCTGCTTGTTTGCCGACCTATACCATATAAAAATATATTTATTGTTTCAGTTATCTCTGCGTTCTTCATTTTCCTGTACTACAGATACGCCAACCAACTGAAGAAAGAACAACTTCTAGAAGATGCTAAACCACTATCCAATGTTACATCTAAATATCCTCAAAACATTGACAAGGCTATCTTAACTGAAAAGAAGGAAAAGTACTAGTCGGTATTTTTGAGCATTGCTATGCAATATTGTCTTTGAACAGCTTACTTACGTAACTGTTCGTCGTAACTTGAAAGTGGACGAGTAATCACAATGTATGAATTGCAATGATACTGAAATGAGAAACTCCATACCGATGGCATTTATAATATTGTTTGTTTATTTAATTTATTAATAGTAACTTAATATCTAAAGCCAATGTGATTTTGATGTTATACCAATAGATAAGTAGCATAGTATTTGTGATGTGTGTTGTTGTAATTTTGTTTTTCGAACGAAGTTCATACAAGCAATATTAAGTATCTGTGAAATAAATGGATCGTTTTATATTTGTTTGAATTATTTATGTTATATCTATACAATAAGACTTTTTTATTTAAAACTAGCTTCATTGTAACAATTTACACAGAACCCCGTAAAGGATTTCTGTACTTTGGACAGACGGAATCGTGGCACAGCCAGCTTATTTTTGCCTCTTGTATTAAAATTGTGTCTATAAGTATTTCTTATATATATGTATTTCGCTTTTTTAATATTTTCTTTGTAAGAAATAAATCCATAATTGTTGACTACCTACTTATTTAATACTAGCTTTTGCCCGTGACTCTGTTTGCGTGGAATAGTGACTTCCTGCAGAATTTTGGTATAAAAACTATCCTATGTCCTTTCTCGAGTTCGAAACTATGCCCATACCAAATTTTACAGAAATCGGTTCAATAGTTAAGGCGTGAAGAAAAGACAGAGTTACATTCGCTTTTATAGTTATAGGTTGGATTTTTTAGTTAACTAGTGTAAATTATTGATTACTAACAGCCTGCCCCTGGTTCGCACGGGTGTCTAACTACTACACTGACGACAAACTTGTCTATATTTTAATTTACCCCTCTACTTTTCTAAGAAAATATTTTATTACAAACTTCTCCATACAATAATGAACACGACATAAAAGAATAGTCAGAATTGGTCCAGCCGTTTTTGAGTGATACCCTTACTCTACATTTTGCGATCCATTTTTATATATAATAGAAGATATTCAAATTAAGGGATCTTGGTTCAAACTTAGGCTGGCGCGTACGTTTTTTTACATCGCTCTTAGAACAAACTAGTACCCAAACGGTTTACGGCTATGGCTTACAAAATTGCATCCACAAGAGATATGCCTTGAACCAGATAAAACCAGATGAAACCGCCTCGAAGGAGGCAACAAAACTGATTTAACTTTTCCCGTAATAGTTTCTGCGGCAGGCCCAGGTCACCAGTGTGTGTATCAAGAGCCACGATCAATTTGCGATATTTATTAATTAATTGTTTATTAATTTTGTGTTATAAAATTTTTATCATCACTGAAACTATGTCTCCAAAAAGTGTTTGCAATGATTTTGAGCAGTCATATTCCATCGTTGGTCATATCATCGCTTTGGCACAGGGAAGACTATTTGGTAAATGCGCGTGTAGATTTTTGTATGTATTATATACTGCCATCATCTCTGCTGAGATGTAATATACTATGTAGATAATAAATAGGGTGCAGGCATTCTATTGTTTTGGTTGATAATCAAGCCAAGGTAATAATATCTACAAGTATTTCAACTTCATAGAAACGGCCGAAACGCGAACTATACCTACGCGCCCGATGTCGGGACGCGCTCGGGACGCAGACAGACGCGGCTGTACCGCAGTGACGAACGGACGGTGTGTTGTCTTTTATTTAGAAATCAGCTCGAGTACATTATTTAATATGACGAATAGGAAATATTGTGCTGTTATTATGTTTGGTTGCATGAATTCGTCAATAACGCATCCAGACATAAGTTTTTTTTAAATTACCTGGAAACTCTGAAAGGTAAGACTATAAAATAATTTTACTTACTAGTAGCCTAGGTAGGTACATAATGTGTGTCTTTATGGATCATTATTTCCAGTTATCTCACGAAAACAGATGTTTGAATTTATAAATAATATGAATAAAGTTATTGAGACGAGTGAAATAGGTAGTTATAGGCGGTTCTGGTTCTGAATGAATCATGATACGTTAGGTACCTACCTACTTACGCTTGTGTTAAAACGGTTCATGTATGTTTTGTTAGTTTGTATAATTCAAAGTAGAGAGTGTGGTATTTTATTATTAATAATATTTGTTTATTATCTGCGTTTATGAATAATACTAGAAAATATTTAATAACAACAATAAAACAGCTAGACTCATGTAATATTTTGATGTTTGAGGGTTGTGATTTTAGAACATTCGTAGTCAGCTGTTCAGTTCGGCATTAGTGGCCAAAGAAATTTTGTTTGTTTATTTTTAAAGCACTTTATTTGTTTATATAAAATGGATATTTACAATCACAAAACTAAATGGAAACAAAAAGTAGACAAAGGTAATTAAAATACTGGAGACGAGCAGCCCTAACGCATGTTTACGTACCGCGCGGCTGTAGGTATTTATTTCTTTCAAGCGGCCGAGTTACAATACTGTATGATATTTATACTGTGATCAAGCCGAGGGTGCTAATATGCAAGCGACCCGAAATAGGACAGGAAACAGGGTGTTCTTGACACAGTAAGAAGGGAAGACTGTTGATGATTTTTAGCGCTCGAAAAAACGGGACACGTGAAGAGGTTATGTACAAAACAATTACTTTTATCTCTATGGCGTTTTACCTCTATTATGTGAAATACATTTAATAATTACTCAGTTACATTAACTGAGTGATTTAGCATTTCTTTCGTCTTTTTGCTTTTTTTTTTAGTCGTTTCTCTTTAGTCTTTTTTTTCAACAGCAAAAAAGACTGCAAAAGGATAGAATGGGAAAATGACTGAGAAGAGAATGAGTTAAAATTTCTAAAGTCTGGGGTGTAAGAGATAAAGAAAATAAGAGAAACAATAATTAACTTTTAATTTAAATAATGTTCTTAGATCGAATATTATTTAATATGTAGGTGGGAGCAAAAGATTGGAATCTAATTCTTCCTTAAATAGTCATATACTTAAAAATGGGCACAAATTAAGTGAGTCAAAGTTAATAATACTAGTAATACTGGTTAAGGATATCATCTACACTGATTTTACAGCACAATATACGACTTTCGGACGTTATACACAGGATTTTAGTAGTAGTAGTAATAGTAGTATTTTATTGGATTTCCTATTATTATATGGTAAATAACAGTAATTATCACATATACTCCCCTGGTTTAATGTTTCAAATTAGTTGATATCTCCGTCCGTTGACAGCAGCAACAACTTTTCGGTCTTCCTAGGCATACACTGCCTGCCTATGTATTCTTACACAAATAAACGTATTTTAAACTAAATATCACTTAAAACTAATTTTAAAATTAAATTAAAACTTGAGGTCGTTTTTTGACGACCTGCTCACAGTGTTGCCTGAGGAAAAAAAATGTTGGATGGAATGTCTATGTGAAATTGTATGTTTGTGAACGCATACCCGATCCAGTGGCCGGGGTTGCGGCGTAAGCGCAATGCGACCTCGGCCCAGAGCAGGAGAAGGAACAGGAGGGTTTTTAGTCAGTAAGAGTCTGACACTCCCTCCCGCCCGGCCCTGGGCGGGAACAGTCATTTGATGATTTTCCCCTCAAAAAAAAACCCGGTTCCAGTAGAAAGTCTCAGGGAAAGGCAAAGTTTTTTACAAAAAAAAATACATTATGGGAGAATTTGCCAGACTTCGTGGCAAGGTAAATAATGAGACTGTAGATGGTTAAGGTCTGTTTATTACTTTAATTGCTGGTGCTTATATACTAAGAAGATGCGTGAGATTTTCAGATTTAGCTATCCTAACAAACGTGCAACAATTAACATGTATGTCTTATCTCTATCGTATCTAAGTAATGTAGCGACGTGATAGTGCCGCTACATATACTCCCCCCTTTTAAAAATAATTAAAAAATATAAATATAAATTGAAAAAATTAGTATGTACCTAATTATATAATAACTTAACCTTGCTGATAAATTACATCCTATGCGTAATGTAATGTCATTGTTGCTAATTCGAAGGAAATAAAAACTGCTGCCTTTGTTGTGACGGCGGCGGCAGTCGATGAACTATCTACTGCATTTGTGCTGATTGTTTCTTGCTATTGTTTTCACTCTTCTGTCTAAGGTCTTCAGTATTCCGTAGAGAAGAAGGATGCCAATTGTGATGAGGATTTGTCCAATTGCAATGTTTCTCGTCCACCGTAGCTCTTCCAGGACAAGACTTTTGAGATGGTCGGCTTCATTTTGATTAAGGCAACTGTCGGAGTTATATACGATTTGATCTTTGGAGCTTTGGTTGCCCATTGTTCTCTCGTAGATACTGACGGTATATGATGGTATTTTCAAAATACGGTGAGTATTTAAATGGACTGATTACTTGTGTCAGCAAGTGACGAATCGTACTGTCGGCTTAACCGCCCGTCCTGCTTAATCTTGTGTTTTGGAGTAGTGTGGAGGGAGGCTGGTTTCGTAATATCCTCGTATTCATTTAATAGTTGAGTAATGCGTGGATTCGTCTCAATGTTAATAGTGCGGATTGTTTGCTGCGTCGATTTGATCAGGGTTGCGGGCGTTGTCAGCTCAGTTACCCTATCTATGAGTTTTCGACCAGCTATATCGACTAATAGCTTATAATGCTCTAAAAAATCTGCTCCAATAATCGGTTGTGTTACATCGGCGATGACAAAGTTCCATACAAAGTTTCTTCGTAGCCCGAAGTTTAAAGAGAGTGTTTTTTCACCATATGTCTTAATTTTTGTACCATTGGCGGCATAAAGTATACATTGTTCATCTTGTATTAGTGAATGTCTCTGTGGCTTGCTAATAACTGAAATATTTGCTCCCGTGTCAATCAAAAATCTCATACCACTTTTTCGGTCGGTAATAGTGAGGCGGTTGGACGGGTGAATAGCACAGAGTTCCGCCGTTGTCCGTGCTTCAATTAGTTTCCCTGTTTCCTTGAGTTGAGATCCTGTTTCCAATCACAAGGTTGAACACACTTTTGTGCATATTTTTTAAATCTTCCATGGTAAAAACAAAAGTGCCTTCTTTCTCTTGAACTTGACTGTGGTAGGAAATGCCGACGATTGGAATAACTTTGAGTGCTGCGTCGATAGTTTTTTTGACCTTGCTGAATTGCATTT